CATAAAAAAATCCTATGAACTATTAAACTATTATATATTAAGAGTCACAACAACATCATGACAATCTATCACTTTTAAGGTTCTCCTTCTCGTTGGTTGTGCAACAATAAACCCAATAGGCAGATGTATGATGTTTTATCATAAGTTACATTTAGATGTAATTCACCCCATTAACCTGGTTGCATAAAAAAATCCCACCGATGTACTAGGCATACTATCTAGAAATGGTGTGCGCACTACATCATACACCATTGAACTAGTTCTTCACCGTCTACCTAAGGATTAAATTACCGCTGTCTATTATGAAAACTTTAGTAGTTAATTCAACCTATACACATTGGAACATCTTTTCTTATCTTAGTGTATTAATAAAAACACTACTGAGTATAGAGGCTAAGACTAGTAACTTAACGCCCAGCATCACAACGCTTATCATGAAACCAGAACGAACGAAAACCCTTTACTATGTCCCACACACTGTTAAATGGCGAGTATGATAATGAAGGATAATCCAATAGGATCTTTCAATACGAAGTACTCACATAAAAGGGATTACAGCTGTGCAACCAGGAAATTAAAGCAGCATTTTAGAATTAGGATCAGAGTTACGATAAAATTACCCTGTTATTTCTAAATTCAAGGGACGGTTCAATTTGGCGAAAAGCAAAATCACTTACACTGGCCCAGTTCCCCCCCTTTTAAAGTAAATAAAAGATTCTACTCTACGTGGATTGAAAAAAGGTTCTATTTATGTGAACAACTGATCGAAAAGTCCCTTCTCACTTTTAACAGAAATACATTGGTATGAAAAAGAGGATAAAAAGGGCTCCATATAAAGAAATGTTTACACTATGTCAAGTTCAGAATAGCTGATATGACTTATCAAGCACAAAAGAAACAGTTTGTTCGTGTCAAAGACAGGTGGCCGAAACAGCGAGTAAAGACAGATCAAAACGAATGAAACGAAAAAGTCACCCAAATCACATCATCTTCCTTCACTATTTTCCTTCAAAATAATCATAACAATCTAATTATCATATTCATCGTACATAAACCTCAGAAATCGATTATTAACCCTAGAAGCTACTTGGCCTTCTTTTTGCTCTAAAATATTGTTAAGAATTTCATATTGCCATTTTGGATTTTACACCTGCCAGTATAAGCTGAAAAACAGGCTTTATCAGCTTTCATCTTGAGCTTTTAGGCTCAACACCCTGTAAAACCGGAGGGAGAATATCATTTTCCTTTAACATTAATTTTCCTTCAAAATATAAGCATAATGAAATAGTCACCGTGGAGAGTCGGTGGCTGCAACGGCTTAGGCGTTGACACGGCGCTCATCACTGTAAGGTAAAGGTCCCGGGTTCGAATACAGGGCCGCTGGATTCGAACCCGACATACCAAACTTACAAATGGGCTTTTTGCAAAAACACCGGCTCCCCGAGGGTTGATTTAACCGGTGAAACTGAAAAAACACATATTTCTTCAATGTTTTTTGTGACTTTTGATATTTCGTTAGTTTTTGAAAGTATTTTTACATATTGTGACCAATTTTTGACAAGATTGCTATACGAGATCAAGTTGAAATAGTCGGAAGCCTGTTGCGACCCCCTTAAAAAACCCATCATACGTAAATTTCTAAAAAAATTTCATGCCCCTGGAAGCTTCATGGTTTTCTTTCTTCCCAAAAATATGTTAAAGTCTTTCTCATTTTCCTTTAGGGTTTAGCCTCTTTCCAACCGCCAACCCAAGCAAAATACGCCTTGTGAAGTTTGATCTTTCTGACCATCTCACAATATACGTTTCTGCTTTAAGGAGATATTTATTTGTAGATGAAAATAAATATTTAAAAAAAAAGAATAAATAACAGTAAAAGAAAAATTCTTTATAACATTACACACATCATTATTTGGAGATCTTAAGATGCGGTCTGTTGTGAAGCAGGTTTTAGAAAAACATATTCTTTATAGTGCCAACGTTTCGATCTTTATTGAGATCATCTTCAGGCCCTTGTGTTGTCTGAATTTCAACAAAAATGTTCTCTAATTGATAGCCGATGCAAGTTTCTTTTCATTGTTGGCGATGTCCTTCAGAATACTCTTTGTTAGTTGTCAATATGTAGTTGGAATCTGTTCATAGAATCCCATGTTCTTCGTTCTTCTCGTGTAGAAATGTGTGGTGTTTAGAGACCGTTAGTATGATTATTTGGAGATCATGAGATGCGGTCTGGTGAGACGTAGGTTTTAGAAAAACATATTCTCTACCGTGCCAACGTTTCGATCTTTATTGAGATCATCTTCAGTGCTTTGTGTTGTCTGATTTTCAAGGAGGTAACTGTGCATATCAGCTTGTTTATTGTCATCTTTAATACTATAGAAGATAATCTCGCTGTGCCACCTGTGCCATAGTATTCCATATAAAATAATGTAGAAAATTCAGCATAAGCATAATATGAAAGCTAAATTTGCAATTCTCCAATTTCATTGTTCCAAACTATTTGACCTGACCAGAACAGCTGGTCGGAACTGCTCAGCATTGTCCCATATTTCATTCTATTTGAACGATTGTGTTTGTTGTAATTCTGGCGTTTTATCCGATCATCGTTACAAATCTAAGTTGATGTGAAAACGTTCGCTTGTTTGTGTTATGGAATATGTTATGAATATTAAATATGAAATTCGATATGTTATCGTTCTCTATATTATTATTAATTATTAAACAATAAACGAACCAGAGGCTTGAGTTCGGGTCAAATTTCCGTTCAGCGGTTCAACGCAATTTCTGAAAGTATTCGTGATTTCACAAGATTCTAAAATTTGTGACATGTAGAAAGCTGAATTCCTTTTTAAAATACCCGCGTTATAATCTTCTTTGGCCCTTTTGAAACTTCAAAGTTTGAAAGTTAAACCAAACTCGGTTATTACATTTTTAATATTACCTCGAAAGCACAAATTTAATTTCATATAAACGAAAAAGCTAAAATCACTCAGTAACATAATTCAATATTTAAAACCTTTTTGAATTATCCAATCATAAATAAACGCCTTAAGCCATTCAGATAACCCACAGTCGTTAAAATTGTTAATAAAACGTTGTTCAATTATTTGACTTATCAAGTGTTTCTTATTTTTTCAGTAGATGCTTTGATTACGGAATTATTGGGATATACATTTTTTTGTCCTTACATATAAAAAATAAATTATGAATTTTACGTAAATAACTTTTAAAATATATATACTATTGTCGTGACTGTCGCGAGAATGAACGATTTGAAAATTAATAAACGTTCGTTTCTAACAAACGCTTTGTCATCTGCTGGTTTTGTCCCACAGAGTGGCTAGATGATTGCTTTTCCTTTATTTGAATTCTCCAATTGTCGGTTTTTCTTTGAGGAAAAACCTCACTCAATTTGTTGGAAATTGAGCAAATTTGCATTACGATCATGATTCGATTTATAGGCCGTACAAAAATCCGAAGAATTGAATCGTTTTACACAAAATAACTAGAAAAAGATATGTTTTTTCATTATTACCTTGTAATCATTGCCATCGCATCATTTTTGTATTTTTAAAACTTTTGCGCGATTTTATTTATCAAGCGGTTCTTACTTATTTAGTACTTGCTTTTATTACATAAATTTATGTATTTGGGAATCATTGTTTTTTAATTATCAATATTTCTTTCCCAAATATTTTAGAAACATGTGATACTTTGTATTTTTGCACGCATCCAAAATGTCCTAACAAATCAATGGTTTATTTTGCGTAAATGATTTATAAATTGTTTTTTTGTCTAGCATTTCACAAAATGTTAATCCAGTGCTTTTCTGCGCCGGAAGATTATTTCTTTTTAATTATTTATTCACTAATTGTCGGGGTTTTTTTTTTAGAAGAAACCTACTGAATTTGTTGGCAAATCGAGAAAACTTGCATTTCGATCATGTTTTTTTTATAATCAGCACAGGACTTCGATGTACATGAATATTTTTTGCAACGTAACTAGAAAAAAGGTTTTTGTATTAATGCCTTGCAATCATGATCATCACAACCTGTTGAAGATTATTTCTTTTTCTTTATTTTAATTCACCAATTGTTGGTTTTTCTTTGAAAAGAAATCTACTCAATTTGTTGGCAAATCGAGAAAACTTGCATTTCGATCATGTTTTATTTTTTATAGCCAGCTCGAAACTTCGAGCAGATGCAGATTTTGCGCTACGTAACTGGAAAAGAAGGTAAGTTCTTGCATTAACGCCTTGCAATCATGATCATCAAAACCAGTTGAAGATTATTTCTTTTCCTTTATTTGAATTTACCATTGTCGATTTTTCTTTGAGAAGAAACCTACTGAATTTGTTGGCAAATCGAGAAAACTTGCATTTCATTCATGATTTTTCTTATAATCTGACATGACTTCGACGCAGATGCATATTTTACGCAACGTAACTAGAAAAGAAGGTAAGTTTTTGAATTAATGCCTTGCAATCATGATCATCACAACCTGTTGAAGATTATTTCTTTTACTTTATTTGAATTCACCAAATGTTGGTTTTTCTTTGAGAAGAAACCTATTCAATTTGTTGCCAAATCGAAAAAACTCGCATTTCAATCATGATTTTTTTTATAACCAGCACAAAACTTCGATGCAGATGCAGATTTTGCGCGATGTAACTAGAAAAGAAAGTAAGTTTTTGCATTAACGCCTTGCAATCATGATCATCACAACCTGTTAAACCTGTGGTTTTGTCAGTCGGAAGATTATTTCTTTTCTTTTATTTGAATTTACCGTCGGTTTTCCATTAAAAAAATCCTCATTTCTTTGGAAACCAAAGATAACTATCATTACGATCACAATTCGGTTTGTGGTCTGTACAAAAACTGTGATTTAAATGTGTTAAATGTAAATTGTAAAAAGTTAAATTATTACAATTACACATACGATAAACAAATTGAAAGCCTTAAATAAAAAGAGGAAGGGAATAAGCATTTAATAAAAATTGGCAGTCCTGGAATCTGCTGTTGGGTACACGAGCACATTTAACTTTTTGGGGGTGTTTGACCAACCTGGAAAGCCGGCTTGTTGCATCCATTCGGTCGGATTTCGTCATGGACTTCGAGGAAAATGCAAGATGTATGATCCGTCTCCGGAGAATACGTATACGGAACTTCGCCGTGGCAAAAGATAACGTAGATATTTGAAATTACAATAAAAAACCACGTGACGACGATCGCGGTGAGGGCGTTCTTTTCGGTCCTGACCGACATGGAAGCGATCGGATGGACGACGGCGAGGAAGCGGTCCACCGACATGAGAACAAGCGTGTAGACCGACGCGTATGCTGTGACTACGATCAAGTACTGTACCATTTTACACCATATGTCCCCGAAGGGCCAGAATGGAAATATGTAATCCGTCGCCGTAAACGGGACGCAGAAAACGATAAAAAGGAGGTCAGCAATGGCCAAATTGATGATGAGCAGATTCGTCGTGCTCCTCATCTGCTGGTTCGCGGCGACTACGACCACAACAAGGAAATTACCGATCAGGCCCAAAATTATAATTATTCCAAAAAGTATGGGTACGACTATGGACACGATGTACTCCATGAGGTGTTCGCCCTCGACCTCCATACCGACGGAATAGTTGAAACATGACTCGGGTATTTTTGCAGTTTCATTCGTACAGTTAACGTCTCGAAAAACGGTTACGCCCTCGAGGGCGTCAGTCGGAGACCCGCTCATGTCCACTGCTCACACCAGACTGATTCAACATCCCTTCTCCCCTCGGCAACCGCCCCGCCACGACCTCCGTCCGACTCTGCTCCTTTTGATATCTGCGAATTTGGTTTCTTTCTGAAATTTAATCATTTACCGCTAAACGTTTTATACACGAAATCCCTTTGCAAAATTGATTTAAAGAATGAATTACAATTCCATTTCTTATTTTTTTTAACTTCTTTTTGGTTTTCTTCCTGTTTTTTAACTTCTTTTACGCCCGGTATCATTGATCCTAGCAGAGCTGAAGAGGCACCTGTGTCACAAGCCGAAATCCCACGATAAAATAACTTCAAGCTGATCTTGGTGATTTTCTGGTTTTAAACAGTCCAACGTTTTTAATACCCAATCCTGGATGTAAAGTTCACTGTGTCATTGAACATGCTCTTCGTTGATGGAGAGGAGATGTCATTGTTAACGAGTTCTTCCACAAAAGGAAAGTAGCTCTGATTGGAGGAGGTTGGTTTCCATTGTTCCTCGCCAGGGGAAAGTGAGAATCTTCCTAAAGTGTTTGGCCTTCACTTTTTGACTAAACCCCGTGGATTCCCGGACAGGCAATGGCTGCGAGGACCGTGAAAGCCTGTGGAAGGTTATGACGATAAATTTGAAAATACCCGCCAACCGATAGGAGGCGTAACAAAAGGATGGAAGGGAGAAGAAAAAGAGAAGACGGGCAAATTGGACTCAAGCGAGAATTTGGACGCAAGCCGAAGTTTAAAAAAAGAAAAAGAAGAACAAGAAGCCCAAAGAAGAAAGGAAGAGTCATCAATATTTGTCTCCAAAAAAAAGGTTTTTATGTTGTTTATGTATAGCTCTGGATTCAGATCATTTTATCATTTTGATTGTAAAATTAGAATTAACCTGGAGCTAGCTCGATTTAATTTCGACCACCAAATTTTGGCCAGAGTTAAATAAAACTGAAAAAATGGAAAATTTCATTGCCAATATATCAGGTTTAGCACGACAAAAAGCCATATGGACGTCAACAAATCTAAAAGAAAAAAGAACTGGTGGTCAAATGATATTAACTGCCTTTGGAAAAAAACTAACAATTTATTAAAAATAGAAAATAAAATTAAATCCTTGCCAATAATACAAAATTGGAAAATCTTAACAAAAATAAAATGATATTTAAAAATTAAATCGAGCTAGTTCCAGTGTCTATTCTAATTTTACAAAAAAAATGATAAAATAATCTGACTCCAGTACTATACATAATCGCAGAAACAAACAACAACAAAAATTATTTTTTTAGGCAAATATTGATGGTTCTTCTTTTCTTCTTTTTGTTCTTCTTTTTTGTTTTTTAATCTTCGGTTTGCATCCAAATTCTCGCTTCGAAAGCATGATCGAATCTGCCCGTCGATTCTTTTTCTACTCCCTTCCATCCTTTTGTTACGTCTCCTACCGGATGGCGGGTATTTTCAGATGGTAACAGAAACCAGAGTTGGTGTAGAGTCGGGACCAGCTGTCGAGTGCTTGATGTGAGCGAGCTGTTGAGATGACCTTGATGTTTATTGCTTCTGATGTCTAGTTGTCGCTCCATTACTGAATGTGACGAGTCAGGTTTGGGGTGTTGCATACTCATTGGCTGATGTTTGGAAGGAAGAATTGTTGAAATAGTGCCAGCAATGTGGCTTTAGTAAGCCACACACGGGCACCACAATCTTTACCCAGGGTGACCTCCTCTCCTTGGGAATTCTTTTTTTGAAATTTCTTCATTCAATTCTTTTTTTCATTTTTCCTCTTCATCCTCCTTTTAGTGTTTCATTGTCTAGACTGTACAGTAGTATTCTTACAGAACAGTACTGTCAACACATTGTATACAATCACATAGACCTTAACGCGGAAGATGGCGAAACGCGTCTGACTGTGGAAGAAAACTCAGGCAGATTAGAATGATCTGTAACGGAAAATTAAAGATTCATCACCCCGCATACCACATAGAGAAATTTCATAAATATTTCGTAATACTTAAAATTAATAATTATTGTTGGAACAAGTTGCAGTTTTTGTTATTATTGTTTTGGCAATTTAATGGAAGTTGAATCCAAGTATTTATTCGTAGTTTAGTGTTTCTTAGCATCCTCGTCCGCCTATCATCTTTTTATTGGGCTGTAAAAGGGTTTTGGCATTTCGCCTTCTTCAGTGGTTGGTTACTGTGTTATTTTTCTTACTTGATTTCTTTTTTGAAAAGGTTGCAAACATTGTTTACATATAACAATTACATTTTGGATGTGGTCAAAGTATTTCTACTCACTCAAAGTCTTCTGTTAATTGTGCTATTCTTGCATATAAACACGAAATAGCAAAATCTCACTGGCACTCTCGACACGACACGCAAGAATGGCACAATTACACAGAAGACAAACACTTTGAGTGAGTAGAAATACTTTGATTGAATATATAAAATATATTTTGCATTGTATAAATTCACTTTTCCACATCCTACATGTAATTGTTATATGTAAACAATGTTTTCAAATCCCAGGCCCTGAAGATGATCTCAATAAAGATCGAAACGTTGGCACGATAAAGAAAATGTTTTTCTGAAACCTATCACACCAGACCGCATCTCACGAATTCTAAATAAATATCGATTAACGGTCACTAATCACCACACATTACACATGACGAATTAGTATGATTTAAGTCAAGCTCGTTAAAAGGAAACCACTTGTCGAATCAAATATTTCACCAGTTCGAAATAAAGCAGTGTAGCTTGAGCTTGGACCAAAGTTGAAGTCCTCAGCGTTGTTAGTTGAAGTAATCGTGGGCACTAAGGATAGAGGGCAGTAAGTATCAAAGCCATAGTCCTATGAGCTATTTTTCTCCCATTTGCAGTAAGGCAATATTTATGATTTCAGGAATTTCAGTATCACCAGTATCGTCTTCGGCAATGCATTAATTCTTAAAGGAGCACCAATTGTTGTCAATCAAAAGAAAATTTCTGATGACCAAATTGACAGTGAAATTAACCGCTTTATTGTTGGACGTGAAAAAGCAATGGAACAACTAAAAACGATTAAAAAAACCTTGGTGAAGAAAAAGTGGGAATATTTGAAGGTCATATAATGCTGCTTGAAGATGAAGAACTGCAGGTTCTTTTAGCATAGAGCAGAAACAATAGTGAACCTAGTAGCTCCTTTGAGGCAGTCTCAAATTTTATTCAGAGTCATTGCAAATTTTAGTACCCACTGTAGACTGTCTTCCCTGGAGATTATATCGTACTTCCAACGAACCCGGTCCGGTGGATGAAGTTCCTCCGAAGCAATTGTGACCTGGATTGAAACATATTCACACTGCAAAAATATCGAAATTGCCATTAGAAAACATAAAAAATCTATAAAATTATGGTTTTAAGAAATTTTGTCAACCAGAACCTAAGCAAGTTGATACTGCTGAATCACTTTGTTTTCAAGATTCAATTTTGAAAATGCACAAAAAACTACCACTCCATAATTTAGCGAATTGCAGATCATTAAACAGTTCAGACACTTCGAATCACTACTGGAGGAAATTCGATACCGAGATAAGAGTGACAGCGGGCTGAGATATCCGGAAAACGACTCGTAACGTACCAAAGACAAGTTAATGCTTAGGATGAAGCACTGATAAAAAGAAATGGCCGATTCTGTCTGAAAACCCTGGTCTGAAAATGGGTAATCTACGATCATTTGTTACTCCGGGTAACATCCTCTCGACAGATCCGGGTCGAAATGATTCTAATCAATGGTAAAACATTTCATTTATGGGCGGAAGGAAAGGTTTTATTTGAACGGATCGGCGCGACTAGGAAGTAGTGAACGAAATAATAAGGATTGTTCACACTTCGGATTTCTCCTCGTTGCCTAAACGATTTTCTTATATTGAAAGTATTATTGAAAAGTAATAGTCCAACTTTTCTCTCCTCCTATTCTGAATCTGTTCTCAGAAAATAAACCAAAATATACTTATTTTCAACCCTCAATACATTTCGTCTACAAACTTTTAATAAATCAGAGTTTCCGCAGGAGTGAGAATGTTTATTCAATATTTTTTATAATTAATCTGTTATAGCCAATTAAGGCATACAGAGGAAATAGGTTTAAAGCAACATTATATGTAAATAAATCAAACATAAAATATTACATACAAATAAGAGTAACATTGCATTGAAATGATATTAAATGTGCATATGTATATGCATATCTGAGATGAAATAAGTGCTTGCAGGTGTGCCACAAGGGTGAATACTCGCTCCGCTATTGTACAGAATTGTTTCTTGGGCAGACATGCCCAAATGAGAATGCGCTTACCGCCCTGTTACCAAGTCATCTCCTCTTCTACACAAGCTTCACATATGTTACAAAACAACATATCAGCAATTGAAAAATGGAGCAATCTTGGAGAATAAAGTTTAACCAAAATCACAACTTATCGGCTTTACACTCCGTCGCGAGACTTGTCCTGTCCTAGCATATACTTATACAATGAACTTGTTCCTCAATCCGACAGACGTAACTAATTAGGATTTTCATTTGATAGGAGATTAACTTGGAATCCGCGTTCGTGATTTAAAAAAGAAAACAGACACTTAACAAACGATTTAATACCAAAGATGAGGCAATAGATTTGTCAGAATAATTGTTGGGCCCTAATTATTCCGAAATTGGAAGATCAGTCAGTAGTCAGCCAATCTACCCGGTTGCCATTCATATTCATTTTGTTTAATTTTCTCTACCCTGAAGTCTTCATAAAATGGATTATATTAACAATCAACGTCACTCCACTGAAACTTTAATATGTCATATAAAGGAATGTCAATATCGACAAAAAACAAAATGACACACAAATCTCAGAACTGACAGATAGGATTCATTCAAAAACCTTTATTTCAATTCACAATCTTTATAGTATAACAGATAATTAAAATGTTACCTTCCTTGATTGCACGTATTAATACTCTAATGTATAACATATTTAGTATTTTGTACAAGGAAAAATTGTCATGCAATACATGGAAAGGAGGAAAAATGTAAAATGTCCTTTTGGCTGGTCAATCCATTAGGGAAGTTGAAGTTTATATTGCTATTTAATTGACTTTTAA